GTGTTTTTGATGAGAAAACAATAACATAGCTACATGTGTTGTCTTGCTAAATCATACAAATACATATTTTGGGAGTGGGACTGCTGCCATAAACACACTTGACCTTTGAACCTTTATGATGAGATGAATAAGATAAAAATCAGTTACCAACCGTTCTGTTTTTCTCTTTACTTTTCAACAAAAACACTTTCCATGGCATATGGAGAGATGAAAATGTAGCACTATTAATAATACATAATAATAATAATGATGATGCATTTTATGTATATAGCACTTTTCTAAACACTCAAAGATGCTGTACAAAGAATACAATTAGAGAGCACACTTAAAAAGAAGAAAAAAGTAATCAGACAAAGTATAAACATAGACAAGCTGTTCTAAATAGGTGGGTTTTGAACAGTTTCTTGAAGGTGAAATTATAAACCTAAAAAAATGCCATACTGGGGAAGAAAATGTCAAATTTGTATTCAAATCTAAAATAGAATGATCTTATGTATGTTTTAGCAAAATGAGTGACTTGTCATATGCATTTTAAGGTTTCAGCAGCAGTGTTTTCGAGATGGAAAAAGACGGTCTGCATTATTTGTTTAACATGAGATTCAAATGAAAGTTTGGGGTCGAGGAGGATGCCAAGGTTTCGGATGAGTGGGGATGGAGTACGTGAAGTATTGTCAAAATTGAAACAGAAGTCATGTTGGCGAGTTTTTTTGGACTCGTGATTTTAATGTCTGTATTGTTTGAGAAAGTCGTGTGTCATCCAGGGTTTTTTGTCTGTTGCCATAGCAATTAGCAATTAAAAGTGAATATTCTAAATATATTTAGTTCTCAAAATCTCACCTTTAAATAGGAAGGTGAAACCCAAGAATATAATACACATTAAAAATAAAGAAATATTGACAAATAAGTATTCATAGGGTTATAATAAAGTATGTCCATTATTATATATTAGTCTACATACCGTAGTTTTCGGACTATAAATCACACTTTTTCTTGGTTTGGGTGGTACTGCAACTTATACTCTGGTGTGACTTATATGTTAACTAATTTATTCTGTCAGTGTGTGAAAATAAAGCTGCTAGAGGGCGCTCTAGGTTTGTGTGCCAGTATCTGCTACTACTATTACTCCTGTACTGCGCATGTCTCCTGCAGAAAGAGCTGCTGTCCTACTGCAAGTAGCGAAATATGCAGCCGAAAATGTTAATCGAGCAGCAGAAAGAAAGTTTGGAGTGAGAGAGAAATTTGTGGCAAACGGGAGGGTCCGACATGCAACTTTCCTGGAAGTCACTGGATGGATCGACAAAGCATAGATTTCAGTGACAACAGAAATCATCCTGTTGAGCGTCAGAAAGGCCGGAATAATTGTAACTGGAACTGATGCTGAGTCTGACAACAGTCGTTTACCTCCTGAGACCATGGAGTTGCTCAGAAGTGACACCGAGGATGAAGAATTCAATGAACTTAGTGATTTGGAGTGAGATTGAGAGTTTGGTAAACTTTTTTATGTATTTTATGCGATAGTTATCTGAACAACTGTTCATATGTCACGTTAACAGCCTGTTCTCTATTGTTATTACTATAACTTGCCATTTAAGATGAAATATTGGTTCATGGTGTCTGATTTTATAAAATACATTTCCCCCAAAAAGTGCAAATTATGTATGTTTTTCTTCTTCATGATGCATTTTTTGGCTGGTGCAACTTATACTCTGGAGCGACTTATAGTCCAAAAAATTCTAAATATATTGATTTTTATACTGTAAGGAACTAATATAATTCTTTCAGTTGCACATTTGGCAACTGTCATAAGCCATCTTTTTATTATTTTTTTGTTTACAGTTCTTTCTTATTTTTCACTGATAAAAATAAAACCATGAGAAGTAAAAATAGCTCCAGAGCACCATGTAAAGAATGGCACAAGGGGCTCCAGACACCATCTCCGCCCATACATCACCACGGCGACACAGGACGAGGGAATATGCTGACACCGGGCCTCTATCTATGTTCCTTACCCTCTGCGGACACTTCATAAAACAAGCGCGCCGTGTAAATTTAGCGGACGACGCCGTAAAACAAAAGGCCTCTGGGAGAAGTTTGGGGAGTCGAGCTTGGATAAGAGTTTAGCCAGGAAGAACGCCGCCATGATGAATAGCTTTGTTTGTCACCTCCACTGCCTCTCCGGGGACCAATGATACGGATCGCAAAAGGGTAACACGGAAGAGGAGATGCGGGGGGCTGAAGAAGTGAAGAAGAAGGAAAAAAAATCATCTTAAATAAACCCCTTATCCCCCTTATGTAATCTGTCATACTAGATTTAAGCATGCACACAGGGACATCATTTGCTGTTCTGCTGAAGTCTATATTTTAGTCTTAAATATCACAGGTGCATTAAGATTGAGTGGGTTGTTTTGACTGGAGCTGAAATAACAGAACCAGGGTTTCCCCATGACAGGAGCTGCATGAGCATCTTAAAGCTGTCTGCAAGAAATTAGAGACGTATAAATCTCATTTGTACTTCCAATTACTGAGAAGGTTTGGTACAATCGATGGCTGGATTCACTCTTGGGAAGCAATATTTCTCAAGGATTCGTAATTTTTGGGGAGAATTGTTGGAAGGTCCTAGATTATTCAGTATATACAGTATATTTATTATTGTTTTATTTTTTATTTTTATGGACACAATAGCCTATTTAATGTGGTGTAAATTGTGTTTTGGAAGTACCATCTGAGTTGTCATGAAATGTGTCTATAAACAACAGAAGTCAGAACAACAGCTCAGTTACTTTAGCGTCAGTAAGATTATTTGATAGATATCTTAAAGGTGCATTATGTAATTTTTCATTTGGGGGTCCATCACCTGCTTGTTTCTATGGATATGTCATCGCTTTGCCTGGAATGTTCCACGGTGTGACATTAAACAGCTTTACCTTACATTTATTGAATTACAGATGGTTTTATAGCTCAAAAATATCTAGAAAAATATGCATTCTGACTGAGTGGGGCGGGGTTACCTCTCCACAAATCTGACCTGTAACTTGGTCTGGTTTGGTCTCCGGGAAGATAGAAAGGTTTAATGCCATACTGTGAAACATTCCAGACAAAGCAGTAACATCTCCATGTAGAAAAGCATAATGCAGCTTATAAGAGTTAGGCGATTCTAAAATTCTACAAAGACACACTCACGTTAGAAAGTCAAACCATTTAAAAAATCAACATAACCGTAATAACAGTGTGGAGCTCCTCGTCTCCATGGAGATGTCATTGCTCTGTCGGGAATGTTCCACAGTTTGGCATTAAACCTACAATATCTATCTTGCATTTATTCAGTTAGAGGTGTTTGCGTTGCTAAACAAATGCTTTTTTTTTTTACTGTTGTGCCAGCTCGCTTCTCCACAGATCTGACTTGTAATTCAGCCTAATGTCATCCCCTCCTTGTTTCCACAGACACAGATACTTTTAATGCCGAAATGTGGAAAATTACAGGCATAAGTAATTACATCTCCGTGGAGAAAAGTTACACAGTATAGCTTCATATTTCAACAAAAAATCTAGATATTTTTGCATAAATGTAAAAAAGAAGAATCTACTTTAATGCCATACTGTGAAACCTTCCAGACAAAGCAATGATATATCCATGGAGAAAAGCACTTTGCGAACCCTCTACCAGAAAAAATACACAGTGCACCTTTACCAATATTAGATCTCCTTTGCCAACAGTGTCTGCCAGTGGTGATCAGAAAGGTCTTCAAGACTCTGCCCCAGTGCGTAAAAACATTTCAGGTTCCAAATACAAAATCAAGTTCAAGTTTCATACCTCAAAGCAAAACTCTACAACTTTTACCTTGAACATATTTGTCCAGAAGTGTAGTTTGACATTTGATCTGCCATAAATAAAAGACTGAAGTAAGTAACTAAGGCTACGTTCAGACTGCAGGGCTTAATGCTCACTTCAAATTTTTTTGTGAAATCTGATTTTTTTTGTGAGGTCGTTCACATTTCCAATTAAAAGCGACTTGTATGTGATCTCCAGTGTGAACTTTAAATGACCCAAAAGTGTCCCACATGTGCATTAGAGGACACTACGACATCACACACAGTGGTTATGGAAGTCGCCTAAACGCTGGGCTTGTCTCCTAAAATATGGTCCAGTTCTTCGTAAAATGGACAGGTTACACATCCATGGCCACTTTGTTTGTTTTTTTGAGTCTTTACCCTCCTTGTATTTGGCTCACAAGCTCTTTATTTTTCTTTGACATTGGAGCCAGGACCGTCTGTAGCCGTGCTTGGCCATTTCTTTGGCAGTCATTTCAAAAACCGTCCAGTTCTGATAAGACCCCTCCAATTTGGCCTGAATACAGCGATCCCCCCAAATATTAACTCCCTGACCTCACTTTCCCTTCACTGACTAGACTCTGAGCCTGACGTGTAGGTGGGATGAATGCGACCTGGCCGTTCAGACTGAAATCGCATGTCAGAAGATCAGATATGTATCCGTTTTACGATCATGTATCCAAGTGTCCTGGGTCGCATGTGAAAAAAATCAGATTTGGGTCACTTCAGGATGCAGTCTGAACGTAGCCTAAATAAAGTATATATAAGTAAATATACATTGCAAGTATGAGCATTATTCACCCAGTGTCCTTGAAGTCTTGGCTCCTATGGCAAACAAGATGTAAGTTAGCTATAGCTTTATTTTTCTTGACCAAACAAAAACAAAAGACCAAAAAACACAAAAGAGTCAGATTGTAAAAGCTCCTCTGAACTCTTTAAATATAAACTTAGCATCGTCCATCGAGCGCTTTCATATTCCGTCAAAGCAGACAAGTATATGCACAAATAAAGAAAACATTATTCGTCTTTAGTGTCTGGGGCTTTCGAGACCTTTGACCCATGGTTCAAAAGTCCTGTGAAGATTCAGCTCCAGGCACATCCTAATACACTGGACCTTGTTTTTTCTGATTTTTGGCCAAAGAAATGTCAGTTAACCTTCAATTCTTTTTAAGGGGAACGTCACGCAACACAAGATGGAGGATTCGTTGGCACATGAATATTTTAGATGTTGAACTGCATCTCAACTCTGCTTCACACCAGGCGAAGAAGCAGGAACAAGGAAAAACACTACTCACTACTGGAGTCAAGACATTTTAATAGCCTCGGGGATTATGCTAATATTTAATAATCAATCTTATTCAGTACCACATTTTTAGTTTGTGATGTAATTCGTAGCAAAACCAAGTTAAATGCTTCTTGGGGTTATGGAGGAAAATCGAGTTATGTGGCTACAAAATCCTCTGTTTGAATACCCAGACCTGCCATCAGCGAGTCTATCTCTCAGTCTAATATTGGCGTTTAATATTTCTGTCTTTCCTGTCATATCATCTTCTCGAAATGCGATCTCTTCCATTGGAGAGTAAAGACTTTGACTACAGACATTTCCAATTATTAGTAATGGGTCACGGGGATTGCTAGCCATTTCCATAAAAGCAATAAAAGGAGCGGTTGGATTTTACTATTGTCGCTTTCAAGGTTTGTAATACCCACCAGTGTGACCTTGGCATGTCCCAGTCTTTTCCCAGCCAAAACCGGACTCAGCAAGCACCCACGAAGTTAGCAGTGAAATTAAAATTTACTTTTTTTTTTTTTTTAAGGCTATCCTGGGAATACCTCTGGAAATGACTTGTTAAGTGGACCTTAACATAAACCTTAACTTTGCTTCAGTTACAATCTAAGAATGTCACAATAATCAAAATATAATGACACTGTATCATCAAAAGTCTCACAGTAATATCGTGGGCCATGACAATATATCGAATGACGAGACTATTTGCTTAAATAAATAATAACAATCCATAATTAATAATCCATAATTGTCCATAAATAATAATAGTGCAGCAATAGCTAAAAAACGAGGGAACTACATAGACCAGGGGTGTCAAACTCATTTTGGTCCTGGGGCCTTATCCAACCTACTTTGATCCCAAAGATCAGATCAGAAAACTCATGACCCCAATAACAGCAATAAGTTCAAATATTTGTGCAGAGAAACGCAAATCTATTACAGAAATCTTTTTAAATTGATGAGCTCTTTCTTTTACAAAATATTATAATATTACAAAAAACCTGAAACTTTAAGAAAAATGCAATTTCAACACAATGTTTTAACATGAACTTGAATGAAAATGGGAATAAGCCAGTTTTTCTTGGGAAATCCTGCAGTCGGCGTCCACTTTTCTCATTTTTGACATTTTGCTGATGAGGGTGTCATGGTCAACAGTCAAAACGATAGTTCATTAAAAGAGGCAAGAAGCAAATTTGGAAAGAGGCATGTCTTCATTTGTACCTTCTCTGGTGGGAGGCAGCCACACACAGAAGCGCTGGAGAGGCTGCTATGCTAAGAAAATAGAAAATATAATTAAAAGAATTATAATTATAATTAATAGAAAATATAATTTAAATATTTTAGTAGAAAATCAGCCGAGGGCCAGATTAAAGGTCTTGGAGGGACGGATTCAGCCCCGGGGCCGTATGTTTGACACCCCTGACATAGACCATGATCCTTTGCTGCGCTTCAATGCAGACTACAGAAGAAATAACTGTTATAAAGACTTTTAAATCTTAACTATTTGGATTATAACAGAACCAGAAACCAGAACCAGAAATTTGGACATCATTACATTCCAACTACAAACCACTTGAAACAGCTACAGTAATTGCTTTCCATTGTATCATCTAAAACAGTGATTTCTAGTCTATAAGGTAAAATTTCTAGCCTCAACAATTATTTAAAAGAATTGATCAATTTCACCTTTTAGTCCAATTCATATAGACAGACTCCACTAGTGCACTAAAATAACTTTTGGATGTTACTAATCTTGATTCTGGTAACCGTATTGCTCTTTCTTACATTCTTTCTTGGTTTCTTGCTTTTTACATTAAAGTAACTGCAACTTTTAGGTATTACAAGTTTTTCTCATCCTCAGTATACGGACAGGCCAGTGAACTGCAGTGGCTGCACTAGCACTGATTCATGATTGTCTGCTGGTGATGAGGTTTAGTGAGGACTCATTCTTTTTAGGTTTAAAGCAGTAAAAGTTTACTCAGCTAAAGTAGTATTTGGAGTGATTCATGCGTGTTTGACTGATCTTTAATTGCTTACTTTCAAGACACCATATTGCCCATCAATTCCCGTTTTCATCGCCACCGGCATACGCCCACTATGCTGCACTCATTTCTTTCTCCAATTTTATTTTCTTAATCGGTGATACACATAGGATTTGGCAGCACCGGTTAGTTATTTTGGTACTACTAAAAAAAAAAAAAAATTATCCATTGCTTGTTAGTGTGATCTGTAGCTATCCATCAGATTTGCCCACTCTTTGTTGTCATGATGTTTATGGTGATGTCAGCTCCCATTGGGCACTGCATTTTTCTACCGCAGAAGCCAGTGGATTTGTGTCAATCCGTGTATCATTTGTTCATTTGTTTTTCAAAATAAAACCAAAAATAAGAAAAACAAAAAAACAACTATTTTTGTCATTATTTGTCTCCGAAACCAAAATGAAAAAAAAAGAATAACGATTTGTTTTTTTCAGTTTTCGATTTTGTGTTTAAATGAATAATAGAAAAAAAAAACCAAATAATGGCCGTTTCCCGTTTCTGTGACTTAAACTGTGATGGACTAACTGAACCAGGACTGAACCAGGACTGAACCTAAAAATTAAAAGTCCTGGTCTCAGTCCTGACCTGGTCTTGGTCTCAGTCCTGGTCTGGTCCTGATCTCAGTCCTGATCACTTGGCAGTCTACACAGGCACACATCCTCAACTCAGTACTAGTTCAGTCCTGGTTCAGTCCTGGTTTAGACCTGGTTTAGTCCGGCATTGCAGTTTGAGTCACGGAAACAGGAAACAGCCGTTATCTGTTTTTTTTTTTTTTTTTTTTTTTTTTTGTTTTTTTTGTCCATTGTTCATTTAAACACAAAATCGAAAACTGAAAATACAAATCGTTATCCATTTTTTCATTTTGGTTTCGGAGACAAATAATGAAGAAAATAGATTTTCATTTTCTTTCTTTTGGTTTTAATTTGAAAAACGAATGAACAAATGATACATGGATTTTCTTTTATTAACTTACACCAATGTTACTACCGAAAAAATATCTATGTTGATCTCAGACATGTCTAATCTCCACTGCACTAAATATCCCACAATTCTAAGCAGATTCCCCTCACTATAGTCCCTATCCTCCAGTGCATGTGAGTGTGGACAGTTCTCTTGCCCCCTCCCCTCTCATCTGTCACAGCCTGTTCTCCTCCAGCTCAGCGGCCAAACAAAGGCGCTCGTGGTGGTCTGCTCCCCGGACACGTGCCCCCTCTGACCCCTCAGCAGTAATTTTAGACTTCATGAAGCCAGAGCCAGAGAACCCGCCCTGGCTAATTCAAGGTCATACTACGCTTTTATTATTTTACTGCACAGAATGGAGCCAACCTGTTTTTGGGCACTGTGCCACGTTTGAGACAAAACCGCCATCGCTTTTTAGATTACTGTAATGATTTTTCCCCCCTCCGAGTGCCTTCAGGAGACCCTGTCCTCTCTTGAACTCTGTTGTTAATATTGTTTTCAAGCAATTTTAAGTTAAGTAATTATGAAAAGTAATTTATGCCAAATGCCACCCTCAGTTTTTACGCAGCATCCATACAAAATACAAACCTCTTACATTTATGCTTTAGTAATGGTGCTGTGACAATTTTATCAAATCATTGAAAATATGACTTTGTTTATGACTTAAAAAATAAATAAAGAATCATTTAAAGGTGCACTGTGTAACTTTACTGGTATAGGGTCCACCTATACCAGTAAACTATCTATGGAAATGTTATTGCTTTGGGCTACAGTATAGCAATAAACCAGGCCAAGTTACAAGTCAGATCTGTGAAGTGGTGATCCCAGTGAGAGCAAATATGCATGTTTTCAAGTAGGGCTAAACGATCTATTTTTTTGGACTCGATCTCAGGCAACACGATTCTGGGAGCGTTAAAGCCGTGTTGTTTTTTTCCCCGTGCTCCTAAAGCCCGATTTTAAGGGCGAAGTTTAGTTCTGTGTCGACTCAACGCACACAGCCTTCGTCACATTGTCGCCGTCAGTTTTGATTTATGGGTCTGTGTCGAGGTCTATGCACCACGAAGTAATTCACCGCCACAACGCAAGGAGGCAAAATCTGGTGTTTGTGTAAAGTTTAACAAGAACCATCTTCAATGAGATAGAAGCACAGAACAGACTCACCATCAGCAGCACATCCTCTGTCACAGAAAGAACACTCATATTTCACTGAGTCGTGTCTTTTAGTCTGACAGAAGCTGAACCACATCAGGGCACAAGAAGCAAGCTGTTTTTTTTTTCCAGCGCTTACAGTTTATGCAAATTTGTCATGCGGTTTTAAGTTTTGTTTCTGTAAAATGTAAACAAATGTGCGCAAACGGTCCAGCCTCGAAGCGTTGGTGCAGGACTCTGGTATGATGTAAGTTTCTGTGGTGTTTGCAGATATTCATGTGCAGTAAAACTTGATTTGAAAAAAAAAAATGTGGATGAAAGCTAAATATATCTCAGTATCTGCTAGAAAAATAACAATAAAATTTTTACTCAAAATTGGTCAGCCCTATTTCCAAGGTATGTTTTCAATTAAAAGACCCATAATTAAATAATAGCTAGATATATGTTTAATGCTATATTTTGTACCATTTTAGGCAAAGCAATAACATCTCCAGCAGAAACCAGGTCAGAAAAGTTATGCAGTGCACCTTTAAACTGTGAAATTGCATTATGTTTGATATCAAATTTATTCAAGCTGGTGCGATCATATTTCAGTCAATATTTGGCAAACAAAAGCAGCGTCCAAAGTGCTGCACATGCCAAATACCGTATATAGAGATAATAAACATAAATGTTAATATAGCATTGATTTTGTAATGACATTTTTAGGTTAGTACAAAAATGTGTAATTATCCTTTTTTCCTGGCACCTCCCTGGCACTAGCTTGGCACCAGTTGGACAGTAATTTCCCTCGCTCTGATGAGTAAATTGGCATTCACTGTTGTTGAAGCAAAAATAATGAATTAAACCCAAAGTGACCAGCAGGGAGCCGTTGTGTTGGAAACAATCACCGCGGCGTTCAATAATGTTCCTCATTTAGATCCACGTTGTACCTGGGCCTGTCACCATAACAACTTCTGAAGTGTGATGTATTGGTGCTAAAAATCTAAATTGGTAAAAAACACATGAGCTGCAATAAATAAATGGCAAAATGAACACTTTAGTAGTTAATTTATTCTTAACTTTGTTCTTTGCTGAGACCAAAGTTCAGTTTGTTTTCATACCTGGCTGAGTTTCGACGGCTCACTCCTGGTTTTTGTCAGAGTGGTCACGTGATGTTGCTGTGACGTGTCTGCTCAGCTAATCTACACAGGTTTTGGGGCTGTCTTCTTACTGGTAGAGACTGGACAACAGCGTCATCTG